GGGAAAAAATAAGAACCAAGATGCATTATGTAAAGGTACAATTCCCAATGAGAAATGTAATTGTGTTGTATACCTGCAATGTACCAATAAAAGAATTTAATAAAGTGCAAAAAAAAAAGATACTAGAAATAAGAAAAATTTACCTTTCATACTTACTGACAAATTCCTTGTTTTCAGTGTTCTTCATTTTCTTTAACAGCTCTAAATTTTCCTGTGGTATGCCTATGTAAAGAAAATACAAATAATTGTATTTAACTTCTGTAATTAATATTTATTCCATTTAATGTAGGACTGTTGACATTGAATTTTCTTAGCTTTGGTTATTTGAAAGAAGTATGTAGAATTTTAGATTGATGGCATTTCTTATTTTAATTCTTTAAAAATATTGCTTTATTGGATTCTGTCATGAATAGTTTCTGATGAAAAATATGCTGTGACTCTTATTATCTTTGTTCCTTTTTAATCTGGCACCCTACTCCATCCCCATTTATCCAAGATTTTTCTTTCTTTGGTGTTCAGAAGTTTGTAAAGTATACAGGATTGCCTTGCCTCCTTGGGATTCATTAAGCTTCTTGGATCTGTGATTTTCTTCCTTATATGAATTTTTGAATATTCTTAAATACTTTTTCTAGCTCATACTTCTCAACTGAGAGTCTAAAGACATTTTTATTCTATTTTATTTAATTTTTGAGACAGGATCTCACTATGTATCTATGCTGGCCTTGAACTCACTCTGTAGCCCATGATGGTCTTGAACTCATGATGTTCGTCCTGCCTCAGCCTCCCAAGTGCTAGAATTACAGATGTATGTCACCATACCCGACTCTATCTTTGGTTTATTTTATCCTCTCTGACAAGATTTGATCTCTTCTGATTTTGTTTCTACTCCTTGTCTTCTTCATCTTTGTATTTCACTTTGTATAATTTATTTTGACTTAAGTCAAAAGTTAACTGATTCTGTGTCCAGTCTGCTCAGAAGCCCACACATGTTTTTAATTTTTAAAAGTTAGCATTTTCATATGATTCTTTTATATAGTCTCTTTGTGGAAATTCCTCATTTGCTCATGAATATTCTCCAGCTTTATACCACATCCTTTAACATATTAATCACAGTTGTTTTAAAGTCTTTCTCCAGTAGTTCCAACATCTGGGCCATTCTTGCCTTTGATGGTGTTGACCAAGTTAGTTACCCTACCCCTCTTTTGATCTGTTATGTATTTTATATGTATATATTGAGTGCTGCATATTGTGTTTAAAGAAATAATTGACTGAAGTTAGAGGTGAGTATGTGCAGAAATGAGCACCACTATTTTTCTGTCTGGTCAGTAGTTGAACTGGGTCTAAACTGGATTTTGAGTTTTATTGTTGCTAGTTAATTTCAGTAAGCCACAGACTTATTTTTCTAGTAGTTCCTATAATTTTGTGTTTAGTGTGGGATTTGGAGTTTTCTCAGGATTCTTGTTCCACTCTCATCTTTGAGAAAGTCCTGCACACCTGAACCACACAGAATCTTTCAGTGTTCTCCCAAGTAGATTGCTGTTGCCTTGTACTTTATTCAGGGCCTGGTGAGGGTGTGATATTATGTTTGCCTGCTGCACCCTTGGACTTAGGCAGACCTTATACCCCTGAATGTCAGGGTAGGATTTTTTTTTTTCAATAAAGAATAGAAGTTTATTTAGATCATGGTTCTAGGCTGGAAAGTCCAGTATCAAGGTGCTGACATGATAGAAGGCATCACATGGACAAAACAAGTATCTCAGGATGGCTGTTAAGGTTCATGTATCTCCCCTCTTCCCCACCAGTTCCCCCTTCTTAGGCTAGTCAAGAAGGAGGAGCAGGACACTTAATAATAGCAGACGTTTGCTTTGCATCAGTGTAAGATCTTGCACCCAAGCAGTTTTCAGACTACCACCACCACCATGCCCCAGCAGATGGTAGTTTTTCCTCCTTCTCTCTTGGTGCCAATTTACCGTCACTAGTGACCAGGGATTGGGCAGATTTCTACTCCTTGTCCAGCAGCAGAAGGTTTTTATTTCTACCCCTCTCCGCAGCAGCTGGGCTTTTTCTTGTGCAGGGAGTAGAAAGGATTTCTTTTTAGATGTCTTTGATATCTCTGTATATATTGTACTTAAATGGTGTCTTTCTAGAAGGTAATTCCTGATGAACAGAGTCTGAGCCTTAGATTTTTAGAGGAGGATGCGCAGAGTTTGGTTTTTATTATAATATGCTGATGTCCTTATTCTTTTTCAGCTTGGGCTTGATCTCCGACTCTTTTCACATGTTTTTCGATAGCACTGCCATTTTGGCTGGATTGGCAGCCTCTGTTATTTCAAAATGGAGAGATAATGATGCATTCTCCTATGGGTAAGACTTTTTAAAAATCATTTTCTTGAAGCATGGAATATACAGAAAATACACAAATCTTAAGGTCAGTGAGTTTTTACAAATTGAACATGTTTGTGTAACTTAAAGCCATACCCCCCCCCCCCTTCTAGTTCTTTCCTGCTCACCTGAGGATAACCATTTTCTTCAGGGATTTGTTTTCCCTGTTTTTAAACCTTATATAATTGGAATCGACAGTATGTAACTTTTGTTTGCATCTTGGCTTAGTGAATGGGCACTTAGTTTTACTAAAACATTTTAGGTGAGATCATTTCAATATAGGACCATTTCTTACAGCTTATAGTTTTGGAGAAAAAAAATGTTAGTGAACAGAAATGGTGGAGTTTCATCTTTTTCTTATTGAAAGTGTGATTTGCTATTAATTTATTCTAAAATGATTCATAATATGGTTTTATATTACCCTTTTCAGCTCTGCATTTATATATAGTACTTATATACTCTGATTTGGACGGTTAACTATTTGGAGAGTATTTTTATGTTAAGGGCTTATGTTGAATCATCTTAAGAGACAGAGTTGACTTTCTGTTACCTCTGATTGGGGAAGCACTAGATTTTCCATTATTTGATTTATGCTTTCTCACTGTTTCCTTTTTTTGAGCCTACAGAATATTTTGTAGCATAAGTATATGCAAGCAAAACTCAGCACTGATATCTTTTTTCTTTGCCTAACCCTTTCTCTTTCCTGCTTATTATTGATTCTTTCCCTTTATTTTTTAATTTCTTATCCTGGGCTCTGTGTGTGTGTGTGTGTGTGTGTGTGTGTGTGTGTGTGTGTGTGTGTGTGTTTTGTGCTATAACAGCAGTAGCAAACTACTAGTGTCAGCACATAAAAAAGGCAGTAAGGGGGCCGGGGATTTAGCTCAGTGGTTCTGCCACCTGCCTCGTAAGTGCAAGGATCTGAGTTCGATCCCTGGTACCAAAAAAAAGAAAAAAATGGCAGTAAGTAGGCTTAGCGTAAGTATGAATCCTTGTAAGCTCCATTTCAAAGTGATCGTAGTAGCAGACTGACTCTACAATAGAAGAAACAGGAGGATCTGAGAGCAAGCAAGACTTTTCAGTATTTGTTTATAGAAAATCATCTTTGTGTCTTGTACTTATTTGTTAAATAGAAAACCAATATGAAAATAGTTTATATTTAATAGATGCATATATACATGCTTATAGAATATGTGCATATAATTGCACCCTTTTATTTTCTTTTGCCCTAGTTGAAGAATTTAGACACAAGACATGCTTAATTAGATAGTAGCACTTCCCTGAATTACATGGTCTAATTTCGAGACTTGCTCTGTTTAAGTAAACATAATCATTTGTTAAAGGCAAGCCTGTCGACTTTTTATAAGTTTTTCCTTTTAAAGTTATGACTGAGTACAGTGATACCTTGGTACTTGTTGTTAATTAGTTCTAGGAGGTGTGATGAGCACCCCAAACATCACTGTGGCTAGAAACGGTAGTGGTCATGAGGAAATCAACCCAGACAAGTTCTATCTTGCATATCAAGTATCAAACAAACATCTAGTAGTGGGACAAAATATTCACATCAAAATGTGTGGAGTAGCAAATTGGACAAATTTCAAAGCAGTCTAGTACTAAGGTACGACTGCAACAAAGTATAATAAAGCTAATTAAATTATTTAAGTTCAGCAACGTACCATAATTTGTGGAGCACACTTACTAAGCTAGGAATTCGAAACAAAAAGATGCCTGAAAAACATTCTTGCCTTTGATCTTGAAATCTAGTGGAACTCAGGAAAAGGTTTGCAATCAAGCAATAACTATGGGACTAAAAAGGTAGTTTAAAAAAATACCTTTATATTTTTGGACAATAACCCTAGTGACTGACTAGATAAATTTCTAACTGTAGGTTATAGTAAGCTGGCTGCAAATTATTTTAATGTTCTCTTCTCCAGAAAAAATAATACATGGTTTGACAAATGGTATATTAATATAATTTACTCATGTTTGGTAGAAGATAAAATTGCATTACTTCTGAGTGTAGAAATACATGCTGGGTTAAAATGTATTTGATAGGACAAGCTCCAACATAGAATACCTTTCAAGAGTTTCTTTTCTTTAAAATACATTTGGGAGCCAGGGATTTAGCTCAGTGGTTTCACCACCTGCTGCACAAGCACAAGGACCTGAGTTCAATCCCTGGTACAAAAAAAAACCAAACACATTTATAGTAAAATTTGTATTATTTAGAAATTGACACAGAAAGTAGGAAAAGCAGTTTTGATGCTCTTATATTGTTTGAGGAGCAGAGTGATTAACTCATGTTAGCCCACTTTGAATAAAGTTTTAACATTGGAAAATGCTGAGTTAAAGTTGATTGTGTGAATTTAACTAAGCCAGGTATACTTTGTGGAAAAATAAAATCTTTCCCCCAATGCTTCACACAGGTAGGAACAGAAAGCTTCAGGAGTCCATGGAGAAAAAGACAGGTATTTTAAAACAAAAAATATAATTAGAATTATGTGTCTCTAAAATTTATTCTAAAAATAGGCAATTGAAAGCTTATGTTGAATTCATTAATCTTAGAAAAAGAGCAATGAAAATATAAATCTCAAGTTATCCCTGGGATAATTCAGGAATAATTTCATTTTACTTAATAGCAAAGCTCCTCTTCCCAAAGATCTGAAACGTACAAAGCAAAATGTACAAGGAGTTCTTAGAAAAGGAAGAATAAGTAAGTTCTTAACACTCCAGTTTCCAGGCCTTTCTTCTGCCTTTTATCTTTGGATCCTTGCTTTGCTTACTTTGTCTGGTCCTTTTCTTCCTTCTCTAGTGGGAACTTGAGATTTAAATTTCTGTGAAAGCTCTTTATAAACCTACTAGCTTGTTTAATTGGCTTGCAAAAATCTGTTTTGTGGCATTCTGCTATTAAACATAATTCTTAATGGATTTCCTCAGTCATTTCTACAACATATATAAAATAAAATGTACTGTATTTATAATAGAACTAGGACTTTGCTGGTACATAGAAGCATACAATATGGTTTAGAATCTCTCAAGTAAGCTTACAATTTGATTTCTTAAGGAATGACACAGTTGCTTGGTGTGCTTCTCTTTAGGTATGTTAGAGCGGAAGTTCTGGCTGGCTTTGTCAATGGACTATTTTTGATCTTCACTGCTTTTTTTATTTTCTCAGAAGGAGTTGAGGTATAGTAGATAATGATTAGAGTCATTAAATTACATTTCTGTAATGAAAATGTTTATTAACCGAAGACATGTAATAGACCTGTTTCAGCTGTCATTATTTATTGAGGACAGTCTTGATTAGACAAAGTATTTTGTATGCTTACAAAATAGTTGAAAAAATTAAATGATAAACTTGAAATTGAAAAATGAAATTATAGTACTTTACAATCTATGAGTAAAGTATTGACACTATGAAATCTAAAGCCACAGTCTGGGTAGTGACATCAACTAGGACGTGTTTTGAGAGTTTTGCTAGTAAGTTCTTAATATGTGGGTAATTAAAAAAAAAGAAAATATAAAGACTAATGAATTTATGAAGGACAGTATTTTAAGATACCAAATCAGAACAAGTTTGGGACCAAATGTTCATGTACAAATAATTATATTTACTTAAAAATAGTAATTGCTACTTTTTCTGAAGTATGTGATCACAATGTTTATTTCTTTAAACTATTTTGGCAGATTTTTTTGATTACTTTTAATTCTGAAAATTACTATCAATTTTTAATATTGCCTTGTATTTGTACCAGTCAATCAGAAATTAAATCAATGCTATTTGATTGTATTGTGTGTTTTCTAGAGAGCATTAGCCCCACCAGATGTACATCATGAGAGACTGCTGCTTGTTTCAATTCTTGGATTTGTGGTAAACCTAATAGGAATATTTGTTTTCAAGCATGGAGGTCATGGACATTCTCATGGCTCTGGTATGATGGTTAGAACCCTTTGTTTCTTCATTTTTAACTGGTTTATGTCATAATTATTATTTTAGAATACTGATAATTTTAAAAGTTAAGCTATATTAATTTTAATAACAAAAGTAATATATCAAAAGATTCTTATTAATGTCTTCCTGAACTGTCCCTCCCACTGCTCCATGCCTGTCCTCTCCATCTTAGTGCCTTCTCAGAGTTATGCATGTTAATCAGTTTGGTATGGATCCCTCCAGACTTCTGAAGCTCATTTCTTTCGTTTAATACCATTCATATAAAACAAGCAAATACCAGAAAATCATAAAAAATTGTGTGTGTGTATGTGAGAAATTTATTGAATAATCTATTTTTGAGATCTTACATTTAGTGTATATCGGACTACCTTGTCTTATTAACAGCTACTCCATGGTATAAGTCACTGTCATTTAATCAGTATTCCATGAATACACCTCAAGTCATTTACATTTTTACGCTAATTTTTATGTCCTACTCTTGTGAACACTCACCACATGTTTTTCCAGAGCTATATTGGCCTCTACTGTAACTATTATTTACATTGAAATAAAAATTTAAATTTGCATTTTTGTTAATTAAAGTTAAAAATTCACTCTTTCAATTGCATCAGTGATGTTTCAGATCCCTGGTAGCCAAATGAGGCTACCATATTGGGCAGTGTAGATGTAGAACTTTTACATCATTATGGAAATTTTTTTAATTCAGTATGCTAGAGTGAAAGTGGGTTGCTGGAGCATAGAATATATATTTTCAACTTGAAAAGATCTTTGCAAATTGCCTTCCAAAGTAACTGTCATTTACATTTACTCCCAGGCATAAATACAAGAAAGAATTTCTCCCCATCATGTCATCACTTACTATTGTGCTAACAGTGTGATAAAAATGGTTTTTTATTTTATACCACCATCTTGTTATACCAAGATATACCATCTTTGTGGTATATTTCTAGGCTATTCAGGATTTTCCTCTTCTAGAATTAACTGTTCATGTTTTTTGCTTCTTTTTCTTTTTTTTTTTTTTCAAGCCACTTAAACATACTGTAGTTTTACTGCTGTAAACCTTTAAATGTGTTGCAGATATCTTTTTCCAGATATGGCTTGTCTTTAAACTTTTATATAGGATTTTTAAATTTAGATGTAGTCTAGTGTTTTTCTTACATTTTTACTTATGTATTTTCTGCTTTAAGAGTTTCCTATTCCAGGGACATAATCATAGTCTCTTATACCGTATCTTAATGCTTTTCATTAGTTCATTATTTTTTTTTAATCATTTTGTTCCTTCATCAAGTTATAATTTATATTTAACAATGATTGATTTGGGGCTTACGTTTTTTTAAATTTTTCCTCTTTGGTACGAATAAGCAATTTTACCATCACCATTTATTTGTTGGCCATTATTTTCTTTAGAAAACCTTAAAGGTTACCCTGGGGATGACAAGTACCATCTTAATTTAAAAAATGTAGTTCACATGAATTGCAAATTAATTCAGGAATACAAAAAAACTTTGCCTCAATGTGTTTATGTTCTCTTCCCCATCCTTTGTATTATTGTCAAAATACTTATTTCTATAAGCCTGTCAACACAGTTTATAATTGTTAGTTTATACAGCTGTATTTTAAAACAAAAGCATTACAAATAAAAATGTGTATCCTCTCCTTCATAATACTTTTCTAGTTAATCTTTGTGGTTACCAATCTATGGTTTATTTTTCTTTGCATGGCTTGAACTAATATTTAGTGTTCTTTCATTTCACCCTTGAAAACTATAATATATGTTTGGGGGGTGAGGGGGAGGCTAAAATGTCCTAATTTCTCTTTAATGAGAGATAAGTAGAATATACAATTTTTGTTTGAGTCGTTTTTTTTTTTTTTGGTACCGGAGATCGAACTCGGGTCCTTGCGCTTGCGCAGCGGGCGGCAAAACCACTGAGCTGAATCCCCGGACCCTTGTTTGACTCTTTTATCTCCCCAACATTTGATATCCTTCCACTGTCTTTGGGCCTCAGTGGCTTCTTTTGAGAAGGTGACTGTTGATCTTGAAGTACCCACATATAAACTAGTATAAACTACTTTTTTTTTGCTGCACAACTTTCAAGATTTTCCTCTTTGGATTTGATTTTTATCAGTTTGACTGTGATATCTCTAGATACTGCTTCATTGAGTTCATTCTATTTGAAGTTTAATGAATTTCTTGAATACATTTTCATCCAATTGGAGTAGTTTCCAGACAATTTAAAGTTTGCTTGCTGAGGCCAAAATTTGGGTCTCAGAAATATTTTCAGCAAGCTGCCTTTTAAAAATATAGTGTATGGCTTACTTTTCTATTTCTTTTTGATGAAAACTGGACACTTTAGATAATATATTGAAACAACTCTGGCATCAGATTATGTCCTCTAAAGTTTGTTGTTCCTAGTGCTTTTGTTACTGTTGTGTTGTTTTTCTTACTGCAAGTTTTTTTTTTAACGGATTCAATGAATTATGTGTTTACTGAAAGTTGTGGCTATTGTGTTCTCTGCTGGTTGTTTTAAGATTTTATTTTTAACCTGGCTTCCTAAGGATCACACCTGAACCCATATAATTTAATAGAAAGCAAATGATTGGTCAGAAGAGTTCCTTAAATGCCTTTCCTAAAATCTCCCACTTTAATTTAATAGAAAGCAAATGATTGGTCAGAAGAGTTCCTTAAATGCCTTTCCTGAAATCTCCCACTTTAATTTAATAGAAAGCAAATGATTGGTAAGAAGAGTTCCTTAAATGCCTTTCCTAAAATCTCCCACTTTTGTCAAAGGGATCTTTATGAGAAAGTGGACTTTTAAACTTAAGGCAATTTATGAGGCAGCTTTAGGTTTTATTTTCTGCTTATGTAGAGTCTTAAGGTCAGTGAGAGATGAACAGTAATTTCTCCTATTTCAGGTCTTTCTTGGTCCTGTGCACAGTATATATGGCACCTTTTGGATTCTGAGGAGTATGTTAGTGTTTTCCAAAGTTCCTTATAATTCTCTGATTCTCTGAGATTCCTTGTAATTCCCAGGCCCTAATTCACCCCAACTTAAACTACAGCCCTTAGCAGCTGAGGTATGGCTAGGAATTTGCCATTGTCTTGGTTGTACCCTATCCCCAGTCCTCATCCCCACCTCAAGCTGACCTGAGTACTGAATCTATGATCCACATAACTGGTAGAAATTTTTTGAGGCAAAGCAAGTTTGCAAAATATTGACTGTCCAGAAAATGGTGCTTTTAAAAAGCACCAATAATGGTCTGATCCATTACTTGGAATCCTTCTGGCTTTTGGCTGCTTTGCTCATGGTCTGGAGAGGAAGATGGAGTGGGAGTAACTCCAAGTTAGACTGTCAAAGGCTCCTGTCTTAACAAGGGTTGGTAGTTCTCTTAGATAGATAGTTTTCACTTTATTCAGTGTTTTGGTTAATTGCCAGAGTTCTGAAATGTTTTGTAGTTGTTTTCCTGTATTTGTGTTGTTTTAAAGGAGAGATGGTTCACAGAAGTCTTCTCTTCACCCTTCCAGAAGGTGATCTCTCCCACAGTTAATGATCTTCTCATATGATGCAAGGCTGAATTTGATTTTCTGGTATTTAAAATTTTTGCAAGCATAACTGCTGTTTTTAAATTGTTTACCATTCAGAATTTTTTTTCTGTGCTTTTGAATAGCTAGTATAAGAAGTTTCTTGATGGTTTTTTACAGAATGTAGAAAGGATTCTTTATTCTTTTTTTTTTTTTTTAGGATTCTTTATTCTTATGTGTTTGTCTTTTTCTACCTGCTTTCATGTAACTTCACTGATCCTTTTACTAAAGATAGTGCACTGCCTTTGCCTCACTGCAACTGTATGCCTCTATCTTGTTTTTTGTTTGTTTTTATGCTTTTTTGAGTCTGTCATATTTATTAAATGTATGCTCATCTTTTTGCATTTTTTTATTGGTTATACAGATTGATGGGTTTCATTTTGGCTGATGTGAACATAAACATAACACACTTTGATCAATTCACCCCTCACCACCCTCTTCCCTAGTTTCACATTCTTTTGGGGGGGTTTCAGTCTGTATATTTTGCTCATATCCATCCCTCCAGGCTTAGCTTTATTATCCCTGTTTTAGAGATGAAAAACCAAAATCAGAAAAAATTTACTTGTGGTAAATTGATAATAGCACTTAAACATATAAGGGCTAGAAAATTGTATTCCACTGAAAAAAATCCCCATTCAGCTGCAGTCAGTTACCATCTGGTAAGAAAAAATATCACAAAAATATGATTCATGAGATTGCCAGGCCTACCATGGTGATGCCATAGAGAGTTGCAAAAGCTTATTTTTGGTGGGTAGCAGCAGGAACAAAAAATATTGCTAAAAAGACACATTGCTATTAATCCCCCCCCACCCCCCCCTGCAAATACAAAAAATACTCCCCTTTAAACACATTTTCCAATCATTCTTATCACTTTCTGAAGCAGTTCTGGAAGTTCTCTTTTGTGAGTATCTTTATGATAAAAAAAAAAATGCAGTGAATGCTGCTGCTGAGTGCCATCCAATGGAAATGTTACTGGGTTTTGGGGTGCTGGAGTCTCCTTCTGGAGGTGGTTTCTAGGTTCTTTCTGTCCTAAGTAAAGAATTGGTTGAGATGAGGGTAAATGGTAGCAAAATTTTATTAAAGGTAGGAAAAGAAACAGGCTCTATAGAGCAAGTTTGGGCCAAGTAAAATTAGAAAAAGAAGTATACCCTACAGTTTGAGGGTGGGCCATCCATCCAAGAGAGAACACAGTGGCAGAAACTCAATGTGTTCTGTGCTTTTTTGTATCAGCTAGTCCTCAGGCTGAAGTCAGGTCTAGTCCATCTTCTCGAAAACCTGTTCAAGTTCTCATGAGAAGTCCGCATGTAGGGCTTTGGGCACTGCTCTGTACATGTGTCCTGGGATTTTGTGATTCACAGGTCACACCTACTTCCCCAGACAGCTTTGCCACACCCTAGTCTCCTGTTTCTTTTCCCCAAGAGATGCAAATCCCCATAATTCATTATGGGGTTCTGAGGGAGTAGGAAGTTCTTTGTCTTCTATAGCTTCTTCCAGCTGGAAGGGGTTGTAGGCCCTACCTACTGGGGAGTATGTGCCATCTAACTACTTTGGGGTGTTGTGACTCACTGGCTGGGTTGAAGAAAAAAAAGTGTCAGAAGAGGATGAAAAAAGAGTTAATGACTACTGGGCTGTCTGCTTGATGGGAGAAAGAAAGTAACTTTAATATTATAATGAAGATGTAGGACCCAAACATGAGAAGCAAGTAACATTTCCATGCTTCTTGTGGGGGACAAAATATGGCAAAGAGGGAGGTTAGATAAATTATCAAGAGCCTGAAACCCATAGCCTCAGCAAGATTACCTATGTTATGGATCTAATTAAAAAAATGGGAGCCTCCATACAGGTGGCCATTTAAGCTATGGTGAACTAGGGTCATTAGGGACTCCACTTATCTGCACCTGGAGCAGTACTGGAGTCTTGCTTTCTAAAGAGGAGCTTCAGGTCTTCCAGAGGTTATCAGGAATAGCTCTCCTCCTAGTCCTCCTCAGGGTCTTATAGGGGAAGATCACTGATGCCCTTCTTGCCTTTTTGCTTGTACTTTTTACTGCTTTATCACAGTGCCTCTTGCGTAGTATATTCCAAATGCGTATTTATTATGAGCAAGTAGCATTATCTCTACTAAATGTTTTTGTGCATTTCTAGTTAGCACTTACTTTCATTTCCAGTCAAGTCTGTCACTTCCCTCTGTACTTTCATTTATTTTTTTCCCCTGTACTCTATAGTAGGAACTCGGGAGTGTTTTGATAAATCCTTAACACTTTTTTTAAGTGTTGAATGTATTGAATCTGAGTTTACGGGTGATTCTTTTCTCTAGTATCATCTTAGTGTAATAATGTATGTATTTATACCTGCCCCTATTCCAATCCTCTTTGTTTTCTAGGTCATGGGCACAGCCATTCCCTCTTCAATGGTGCTCTCGATCCCGCACATGGCCATGGAGATCTCTGCCATAGCCATGAAGTGAAACATGGTGCTGCCCATAGCCATGATCATGCTCATGGGCATGGCCACTTTCATTCTCATGGTGAGTATGTCTGAAGCACTTTCAAACAAAACTTGTGTAGATTACTTCTCATCATTGAAAGGGGCTACTAAAAGGATACTGTATTTAACTTTCTAATGAATCGTTTGGGTCCTAGGATTATGAAAGTAACCTGATAGAAGGGAGTGGATATAGCTTTTTCTATAGTGAGTGTATTATAATAAAATGCCACTATTTTAACTGAAAATCAGTGAATGGGGAACAATTGCAGTTTAACAAATGAAAATCTTGATTTTTTTTTTTGTGATATGTAGTCTTAAAAAAAACTAGGAAATTTTAATTTTTCACATTTTTATTGTAATGTTTTTTATGTTTAACACCTGATACTTACCTCCATGTTTGATTAGAAGTCTCTAGATGCTAATTTGTATAGCTTTAGATACTAAGTTATAAGGTACTTATCAATTTGATATTTAAAATTGTATTTTAAGTAGCTTATTCATGAATACCGGAGACTAGATTAATAGAAACTATTTAGGTGACACAATTGGATTAATCTTTAAATAGATTATATGTTTTAGTATTATCTGTATTTGCCATATAGACAGAATCGTAAAGCTTTTGATTTGAAAATCTGACAGGCACTGTGGAGATTAAGTACTTTATTGAAGTACAATTAAAATATAAATACTGTACATATTTAAAGTATATACTATGATGAGGCTAGACATAAGTATTCAATTTAAGCCATAAACTTATCCATTACCACTAAAGTTTTCTTCCTCCCCCCTTTATTTTTATTCTAATTATTTACTTATTTATTATGATAAGAATATTTAACATAAAATCTACCCTCTTGGTATTTTTTAAAGTATGCAATACAGAACTAACAGTAAATATCACCATGCTACACACATTGCTAGGTCTTATCTAGAAAGGTAAATAGGGTATAACTGAAACTTCATATCCTTTGAGGAATAATTTTCTTCTCTACCTCCCTCTAGCCCCTTGCCACCACCATCTTACTCTCTATTTTGATGAGTTTGACTATTTTAAATTCCTCATAGGTGTGGTATCATGTATTATTTGTCATTCTGCATCTATTTATTCATTTCACATAATATCCTCCAGGTTTATCCTTGTTGTCCCAAATGGCAAATTATTACAAAAATTCAGCCTTCTTTTTAAGGCTGAATAGTATTCCACTACATCAAATTTTTTATCCATTCATTGGTCAGGTTCTTCCCTATCTTGACTATGGTAAATAATTGTGCAGTGAACATGGAAGTATAGATATGTCTTTTGAGATCTTGATTTTAATTCCTTTTGATACATACCCACAGTGAGATTGCTGGTCATATGGTAGTTCTATTTTTAATTTTTTGAGCATACTCTACATTATTTTCCATAAGGGCTGCACACCAACTTAACATTCCTACAGTGTACAAGGCTCCCCTCTTCACATCTTTGCTGGTACTTAACTTACTGTCTTTATCTTATTTGGTAGTTTTTTTTTTTGCTAATAGCCATCCTGACAAGTGTAAGATGATATCTTATTGTGGTTTGTATTTGAATTTGCTTCTGATTAGTGATATTGAATACCTTTTCGCATGCCTGTTAGCTCTTTATACATATACATACTCTTTGGAGAAGGGTCTGTTCAGGTCCTTTGGCTGTTTTTTAATCAAGTAATTTTTTTCCTCTTGACTTATATATGTTCTGTATATATAAGAGTTTGTAGATATGTTCTGCCTTTATGTACGTTACATTTTCCTTTTGTTGTATGTTTTGTTTTTGCTGTGCAGATACTTTTTCGATTGATACAGTAATCCCACTGGTCTGTTTGGTCTTGATGCCTGCATCAGTCTCTAAAATTTGCTGTATCTTTAATAATACACTTAGTTTTCTAATGTGTTGCTCACATGCATCATCCCAAATTAATTTTGAAAAATTGTGTATCCATCACACATTTATAAGATGATTTCTAAAAAGTTTGGTTGAACAGCTGTGAAGAATATAATTTCTGGCACATTATTGATGAAAATTTGCATCGTTCTATTGAATATATTCAGTTGTTTCTAAATACCTTAGTGATTGGAGACCATCATTACTCATTCAAGAACATAAAAGCAACTGTAAAATGTACATCATTTTGTTTCTCCTTCTATTCTGACTTCATTATACTTCTTTTCCAGAATTTTATGGAAACAGAGTATGTTTGTGTTGTCTTTAATTGACAGTACCTATTATATTTCTAGTAATAAAATACATAAATTTAAATTTTTTTTTCCTTTGAACATAATACCTAGCATTCAGACATTTCTTTTGAATGGAATTATTGCAGTCATTACAAGTACAGAATCAATTAGAATACTGTATCTCAAATTTTGATAGATTAACCATAAAAAGGCAACATTTTATTTTAAATACATATTTTAGATAACTGGAGCTTATTTTCAAACACTTATACATAAGTAATACTTGTTTGCATAAAACAGGTTTTGAGATCAGTTTGGTTCCTTAGTTTTCATCTTTATAGATGTAAGTGCTAAGGAATCTGAAATAAAAAGAATTCTGTTTTAGCAGTTTCAGTCAATTCTTAGAATACCTTTAGAATTATGTTCCAAAAATTATAGTGATCTAACATCAAAAAATTTTTTTTTCCAATGTTGGGGTCAAACCCGGGGTTCTTTGCATGCTAGGAAGCATTCTACCACTTAGCCACAGCCCCAGCCCCCAAAATTATTTATAATAAATTGTTAATTGGGAGTTCCATTAGCTAATTTCTGCATTTCATTAAAAGCAAAGAATTAGAAACCACATTGCTTACAAAAGCATTTGCTGGCCAGTCATGAGAGTCATTGCTTTCCTACCTTTGACACCTATACTTTAAAGTGACACTTTGTGTGTTGCCCTAGAATTTTGTTTTAGACTTTGGGCAGTGCTATACTAAGATTCTGTGTAGGTGAAACGTTGCTTTTTTTGGTCAAGGAAGAGAAGGGTAAGTGGTAAAGAAGAGTTGGCACATTCTCAGTTCAGTTTTAGAAAAGTACTTGAATTTTGTGAATCTAGAAAGTGAATTCATCACATGTATTCCTTATTGAGTAACTGGAGAACTTTTCTTGCTCTTAAAATTCTGAATAACTTTTATTTAATGGAGTTAGTGATTGGAAAAGTGCAATGTGGCTTAATCATATGACTCTAGAATTAGCGGAAGAATTTCAATTAATTGTTTATGGGATTAAATATAGAAAACCATCAAATTAAAAAGAAAGAAGCCATCTATTAATGAAGTTAATGTTTATAGCCTTTCTATTTCAATGAACTGTTTCTCAAACTAAAGGATTGTGTATTACTGACCTTTTTATTAACTAGATTCTAGCACAGTTCCTAGCATATAGGAACAACAGTAAATACTTATCATATTCATAAAAGTATATGTGCCATTTATATATTTGTTTATAAGTCTTATTAAATTGTTGAATAAAATTTCTCCAGATTTTACTCCTCTTCTATTTCCTATCCTAAAAAAAGTAATACAAGTTGAATATTCTTTATTCAAAATGCTTTGAACCTGAGTTTCAGATTCGACTTTTTGTTTTTTTAGATTTTTGGAATATTTACGTAAGTTTTACTGTTTGAGCATCCCTAATCTGAAATGATCTAAAAAGAATATAAACCTAATTTTCATTGTTGTAATTACTTGTTGGAGAGGTATACCAAAAAGACTTAAAATTTTCCTACAGAGTCACATATTGTGTTTAGGTTTTAATAAGATATTTTACATATTTGTTTTGGTAGCCTGGCAGCAAATGTTTAAAAACTATCAGATATCCAGTATCTGTTGAAAGTTAAACAAGTATTTATGGTATCTTGATATGTACTCTAATCATCATTATCATCATAAATAATAATGATCAACTGATCATTGGTAGCAGTTTTGAATGCTCAGCATGTGCCAGGCAGTCTAAATAATTTAAATGTTAACTTTTTCAGTTTTCTCACAATCTAATGAAATAGGTACATTATTGCCCCCATGAACTGAGACACAAAGAAATCATAGTAACTAATGAATTAAAAAGCTAGCATTTGCATGAAAATAATCTGACTTCAAAATTTGTACTTTTAATTTTATTCTGCTTTCCATATTGTGTAAGCTAATCAAGGGATTCAAAAGTAATAGGGCCGTGATTTCATTTTGCCCAAAGAGACACTAATATTACTGGGAAATATAATGTGAGCCTTGTATTTATTGGAAAGCTGGCTGTTTAAAAAATGTATGTGGGGGAGGGGGTTCCTGGTGCTTCTCAAACTTCAGTGCTGTAAGCAGTAAAGGTTTTTTAGTTACTGTAAAGTTGGTAGGAAGTATTACGTTCCCTATGGCAATTTGAGCATTTAGGCTCCTTCCATCCATGAAATTCTCTACTGTTCGAATCCTCCCCTGGACTTTCCACATGAAGGTAGAAGGAGAATACATACATGATTCAAGTTGAACAGCAGTCTCCAACCTTTTTGGCATCAGGTTTCAAGGAAGACAATTTTTCCTCAGACCTAAAATAGGGGATTTAAAAAATTTTTTAGATTTGTAATTTCTTATTTTTTTTTTTACTAGCATATTTTGTGAAACATAATAATTACCTTCCCGAGCACTTGCATCACTGCCTCAGCTCCACCTCAGGTCGTTAGATTCTCCCTCCTATCCACTGTTAATCTGACAGGAGGTGGAGCTTGTATAATGTGAGGAATAGAGGAGGCGGCTTCTCTTGCCAGTTGCTCACTTCCTGCCCTATCTACAGCCTGCTTCCTCACCGGCACACACTGGTCTGTTCTGGTCTGGAATGGTGGGGTATGTGGCCCTGGGATTGGGCACCCCAATGTTGAACATTCTTATGAGCCTGGAAGTAGTTTATATGTCATATTTCTTTGTCCATAACTCAGCCACAGAGCACCACCTAACACAGAGAAGCCTAGGAAATACAGTTTAGTTGCATACCTCAGAGGAGAAACAAATAAGTTTGGTAAGCAATTACCCAGTCCCTGCCACAGGGACAAAATATACATCCAAGAGGACTTTTAGATTTTACATAGTTGGGAGTTATGTTGTCCTTTTGTTTGTTTATTTGTTTTCAGTGCCAGGGATTGAACTCAGGAACTTGAATTTGTGAGGCAGGTGTGGTGCTGTTGAGCTAAATCCCTGGCCAAAAGTTATGTTGTCTTATGTAACTATCATTACAACAAAAGTACAGAAAGTCCCCGACTTAAGAACATCTGAGTTGTGAACTTTCACAGGTGTACTGTTTAAGACTCACTTTGGCAGATTATGAATGAATCCGATTTACGAACGGAACTCGTCTGTAAGTTGGGGACTTACTGTATACCTTTTAAAATACGTACTGATGGGCTGTTGGTATAGCTCAGTTGGTAGAGTGCTTGCCTAGCACTCAAGGCCCTGTCTTTATCTAGACCTAGACAGTTTGGTGATCAAGAGCTGGGTTTTTAGATTAGTTATGCTTTCGACTATCAGCAGGATTTTCATGACAGCTACATCTTTTTACAGCAGTACTTTTTACAGTAGCACATGGTACAGCAGAACCTATCTAGACAGAAAGTACTGCTCAGGATTAAGCTTTTATGTGTTGCATTGTTGTAGAGCATCATTGCTCTGTTCTGTCAGTGCCGCGGTGGTAAGGATATACAACCTTGGTCTTTGGTGCGATTGGCCAAGAACCAATGACTATAGGTAGACACTCTCTTAGTCATGATCAGAAAGCCTGTTGGTCCTCCTGGTAATTCCTTTAAAGTAGGGTTGCTTACCTTTTGTCCTTTTTACTTATATTTTCTGCTTTAATGTAAAGCTAATTAGTAATCATCAAAGTAGTTAAGTATAAAAATTATAGTATTTCATCATAAGGGAAAATTTTTATGAAAGTATTTTTGTCTCTTCTGTATAAAAATCTTGCCACGTCCATCTAGAAGCTATTAAAAAAACTACTATTTACCATAGTCAAGTTATCCTGAATTCTGTCCTGGCTTCATTTCTTGGACTTCTTATAACTTCAAGCAGTACATTTAGTTTTGTCTGAATTTTCCACTTGTAAAAGTATTAGATTTTTAAGGAATATTAGCAGATTTTCACAATGTTTTGAATTCTTGTGCTTTTTATTTTTGTAATAAAATAACTTCCAAAATACTCTTATATCCTCGCTTTTTAAAATTGCTTCCACTGAATTTACTTTTACTCAATTACTTTATTAAATTTTAAAAATAAATTTGTAGGTCTGATGTGGCTATATAGTCACACATCCTTCATGAGACATTTGAATGAAAAGGACTCTGAATTGCAAAAATTTGAATCAGGAATTGAAGACATATTTTAAAATAATTTAACTTAATTCTCTACAGATGGTCCCTCCTTAAAAGAAACAACTGGACCCAGCAGACAGATTTTACAAGGTATGATAAACAATTTGTACATTTTTAATTTTATGAAACTAGTTTCATAGTTTTCAGTTGTATAAAGTTTTCCTTTAGGAAAAATTTGTGATGTATTGTTTATTTTTGAAATGTTATCCTTTCTAGTGATTATTTTATATATGTGAGCTATTAGCAGATAGTCTTTTGTCACTTGACAGTTCATATTTAATAAAAAACACATTAGCCAGAATCTGCTTCAATATAAATAATACCCAGGCCTATGACGATAGTGACATCATAATAATATGTTTGCCTTTGTAGCATTATTATATAGTTTTTCCAAAGTTAACATTCAATATGTTCTAATTATGATAATTTGAGCTAAAAACTTTAATGCAGAGAGTGACTCTATCATATTTGTAGACATCAATTGATGATATCTACACAAGAGCTTATGTATCACCTAACATGGTACATTACACAGTTTTACAAGCCAGGGAAGTCAATCTTGTCTATGAACTATGGTTCCTTTTTTGGGATGTAAACCAATCTTTAGTGCTGAGTTTTCGTTTAGATTTCATTGTCAAGGTTTCCTAGTTCTCAGGTCTGTCTTCTTGCCTCTATTAAAGTATGGTCTTCAATCTGACTTTCTCAACAGATTCTGATCTTGTCTCTACTGTACCTATTTTTCTTCTGTTTCTTAATCTAACTCTTGGTTTTTATTTTTCCTCTGAGAATATGTTCCCTCATACTGAAGAGTTCATTGTGAGCAGGCTTAAATGTGTCTCCCAGCCACTAATTTTCCATTTATAAAATACATAGAATTTTTTAGAACAGATTGCTGAAATAGTTTGTATCATGCATATTTGATACAATTATATTAAGTGATATAAAATAACTTTCAGTTTTAGTTTTGAAAATCATCACAAGTGGGAGAAAAGAAGGTTAGGTTTACTTCCTAATGGTCCAATTTATAGTGGCTGAAGCAGGTTAGTAGGTAGCCAAAAGACAGAGATGACTGCCCAGGATTAAATCTTTCTTGAAATATAACTGTACAAGATACTCAACAAGAAAAAACTGAATTAATTGAATTTTTAACTGTTAGCTACATCTTGAGTAAGATACCCAGCTTAGTAAGTTTCTGGGGAGTTAGATTATCAATATCCTACCAGGTCTTCTAAGGTTTCAACCTTATATAAGCTAACAGTATTATTTATATATCCTTCTTTAGTGATTTTTCTTCTTAAATATTAGTTACAATAAAATAGGAAGGGTTTGGATAATGATATTTACTAATAAAACCAATTTCAGGTTAACAGATAACATGTAGTTGGGGAATTTCCAATTTAAGAGAAATCAGGACAAGTGATTCTTTTCTGTGTTTTAGAGCTATTTTCATTTTTGATTTTACCAAAACACCGATTAAAGAATATAAAAGTTTAAAGACATGTGTCGCATATAATTTTGTAATTTATTTTGTAATAGTATATAATAGTATAGTATACATATAATTTTGTAATTTAGGGACCTTCAATACCTCTTTTTTTTTTTTAACTTGGTACTGGGGATTGAGCCCAGAGCCTTTGCACTGAGCTGCACCCCCAGCCCTTTTTAATTTTTGAGACAGGACCTCACTAAGTTGCCGAGCTGTGCTCCAATTTAGGAGACTCTGGCCTCAGCCTCCCAGGGTGCTGGGATTACACATGCACACCACCACATCTGGCTCATTTGCATTCTGTTTTTCTTTTTTTTTTTAAGTTTTATTTTTAAAAGTTAAAGGGATTCTAACATTTACTAATCCCTTTAATTCTTTGCTATTTGAAATACCTTAGAGAAATTGAGTATTTTATATGTGTTCTGGCAGAATTTTTTTGTTACTGAAAAATTTCTTTTAACTATCACCTAGCTTTCTGAAGAATGATTATAAGTCAAAACTATGCAAATGGAAACGTATGTACAGGTAGTGAAGGATGAATTATATTTAGTATAATATTTCGTGCAAGTTACAGTAGTAGATAATTAAAGTGTAATTTCTTAGCATGTATTAAGATTCAACAGGACTTAATCATAGTTGGGTTTTAAATTATTAGGAAATTTTTTTGAGTTTAAGTTAAATCTGTTTCCACCCCTGAAAATAACTATAGTTAACTTTTTCTTTTTTTTAATTCAGGGAATAGTAAAAATTTTTTTCTAAATTGAGTACCTTGCTTTTTGCATATTAGCTGTTTCTTTTCATATAGGGTAGTTGATATTGAAGAATTTTACAATTTTATCAAGGCATAGTTGAAGTTTAAAAGACAGTAAATGATTTTTTTTTGTACCGGGGATCGAACTTGGGACCTTGACGGCAAAACCACTGAGCTAAATCCCTGGCCCAATGATTTTTTATGTAGTAAATTTTACTCATTAAAGATCTAAATTAAAGATCTTGACATTTTTAGTGGTTTTCCACAAAAATGTCACTTATTAAATGTTAGTGTTATATCTGAGTTCTTGGGCAGCTACAGTATCTGTGTTCTAATTTAATATTATTAAAAATTCACGTATTTCATGATCACTTTAAAATATTCAAATGCCCTTTTTAGATTAAGTTTGAGCACATTATATAACTAATCTGGGTAACAAAACCCTTAGGTTAATGAATATATCAGGAGAAGTAGAATTAGGGTCCATAGAAAATTCTAGTCCCAAATGGTAATAATTTTAATCACCAGCAGAGGGCTCTGTGGGCACATGTATTTGTAATTATGTTTTCTTGACTAATTCTTTTATCCTAATACTGTTTCTTTCCCCAAATTACTAAGTTTTGTACTCTTTTTAAGACAGAGATGAATGGTCACAATTTTTAAAATCAATTAAGTGTATGGTTCTAAGAGTTTCATTTTAAATTGACCAGAAGACAATATATTTTTATTATCTTTATCTCTAGGTGTATTTTTACACATCCTAGCAGATACACTTGGGAGTATTGGTGTGATTGCCTCTGCCATCATGATGCAGAATTTTGGTTTGATGATAGCGGATCCTATCTGTTCTATCCTTATAGCCATACTTATAGTTGCAAGGTAATTGTTCTTCTTTTACTTTCAAGTATTAAAATGAGTGATGAATGATAAATATGCAATTTAAATTACACATGTTAAAGTACAAATTATTATGTTGGTTTTCCTTTGGTCTTTAAGAAATTCCTACATCATAAATTCTCTTTTTATATTCATTTATTTTGTGTTTGTATGTGTATGTATTTTTCATTTATTTCTTGCCTGGAGTTTGACATTTCGTTTTGGTATTTGGCAGTTGTGGTTTTAATCATAATTCAAATCAATGATCATTTTCTTAAATCTAACACTGTATTTGTAGAGTATAATATGAGAAATGTAAACTGTTACCTATAGTTAGAATATTATAATTAGCATCTATATCTAGATATTGTAGATGTTTATATCTTATACTATCACATGCAAAAGAATATCAAAATTTCCTCTAAAAACTATTTTTAATTATAAAGTCACATTATCATTGCAGAAGTCTTGTAAAAATACATACTGAAGTAAATTTATGTGTGTCTCCCCATCAAGATTATAAATTCTTAAGGAAACATCTGTGTCTTAGTGCTTAATCTTTTTTTTATTTCCTACCACAGTGCTAGTGTATGTGTAAAGGTAATTAACTATATGTGTAGGGGTACGAATTCTCAGTAAATGTCTTGTGGGGTAAGTTTTATAGTTATCATCACCTATGCTTCTCTTACCCGCTAAGCTACATTGCCAGCCTTTTAATTTTTTTTTTTGATACAGGATCTCACTAAGTTGTCCAAACTGGGCCTGAACTTACAGTTGTACTTTAGCATTACAGAGTGTTGGGATTAGGTGTGTGCTATCACATCTGGCTTACTAGCTTAATTTTTATCAGAATGGGAATATATTCTCAGGTTGTTTTATTTTTCCATATGATTTTACTCAAAACTTTTTTGCAATGAAGAAAGAGACCTATTTGAAGTCAATCTGATTTTTATAACTCATAGCTGAGTAACTTTTTAATAGGTAGTGATGAAATTATAATATTAAAATTGGTCATAAATGGAGATTTTTAACTTTCTGCTAAAGTAGGATATACATTTTAAACATGGAGATAAGTTTATAATTTATTTGAATTATTTGTACAAGGAAGCAACTCTGCTGTATAAAAGTCTTTCTAAAGCTTAGAATGTCTTTTCTTCATCTTTGGAAATCTTGGTACACTTCCGGTACTAAGCTTACTTCCAGTAAGTTCAGCTTAGTTGTAAGTTGCACTATAAAACCTAATTCTTGATAGATTTGATAACTGTTAAATCTGTACCCTTATGAGTACTTTGAGTTTATTTTATTATGTGTTATAATTTGTAGTTGTGTCTAATACTTCTTAGAGTAGGATCTTTCTGCTTCCTTTGTCTCCACTATTACCATAACTCTGGCTAGTGGTATGTTTTGTTTGGGAAACTATGACAGTCTCCAAGTTGACCTGTCTCTCTCTAAACCTCACACTGGCTAAAATTATTTTTCTTTAATGAGGATTATGTGATATATAAAAATTATCTTGCTTTAAACCCATCTGTGTTTCTTATCCTCAGATTAATAAGTCAAAATTTCAGGCTGGGGATTTAGCTCAGTGGTGCCACCGCCTGGTTGCAAGTCGCAAGTGCAAGGTCCTGAGTTCAATCCCTGGTACCAAAAAATAAATAAATAAATTTAAAAAGAAAGTCAAAATTTCATAACTGACCTTCATGATGTCCCTGTTACCTCTAGTCTCTCTTTCTCTCTCTCTCTCTCTCTGCCTCTCTGCTTCATACTCTGCTCTCCAGCAACAGTAAATTATTTTCAGTTTCCTAAATATATCATGAATTTTCAGGGTTCCACTCATGTTTTGCTCATATTTCCTGTCTCCAAAATACTCTTAACACTTCATGCATTTTCTTTCCCAACCTCGCACCATTCAAATTTGCAGTGGTACCTCTTTGGGAACCATTTTCTGATTCTTCACCTCCTGAGGTAGGTTAAGTACATCACTGTAGCACCTTCTACCACAGTGCCCTTTCATGGCATTTCCAAACTCTATGCAGATGGTCTGTATTATTGTCTCATTCAAACCCTGTAAAGGCATGCTGTTTTACAGAATGTCTAATTCTGCTTAGCAAAAAATTTGGCATACTTTGAATTTAAATCAAAAGAAAGTTGTATTTTTTTCAACCTTAGAGAATTATTTCTCCGATCCCGAACAGGGAATTCTTTAATTCTGATTGCATTCATTTATTCTACAAATTTAAATGAATAATTTTACACAGTAGAGAAAACCTTTTTATTGAAATATAACACAATTTTTAAAACTCCGCACAAATTATCTCCAACAAATACTTATCAGTTAGGCCTTCTTAGCCTGGTGTTGAAAAAAAGACAAGAACTCAAGATCTTTTCATTTAGATTTTGTATTAAATGGGAAAGAGAGCTAAACAAATTAATAAATAAACCATTCAAATATCAGTTATTTGTACTGTACAGGGTTAAGATAGGATTAAGTGATGGTGATTGAGTTGCCTCTCTAGGCTGAGCCATAAAGGAAGACTTCTGAAGTGGGATCATTAAACTGAGATCTGCATGTCACAAGAGAGCTTGTCAGAGAAAGTACTTTCTATTTTAGGGACCAGGTAGGACAAAAGCCCTATGCCGAGAACAACTTTGGCACTTTGAAAAAGAGGCCAGTCTGGCTGCCTCAGAGGGAGTAAGAGGAGAGTGGTTTGAGATAGAGTTGGAGAAATGGACCATGGAAAATTATGCAGGGTTAGCAGTTTGGATTTGATTTCAAGTGCAAAGGAAAACTATAAGGAAGTGACAATATTTGAGTATATTTTTAAAAGGCACTGTGACTGAAATATAGGTAGTGGATCATAAGGAGACAAAAGTGCAAACAGGCAGATGAGCTAGAAAGGTATTATGGTGGGCCAGGGAAGAGCCCATGGGAAATGCAGTGACAGGGATGAAGTTAAAAAGTGCTTTAGTGATAGAGCTAACAAGATTTGCTCATGGATTTGATCTTATGAGTCAATGTTGAGTGAACAGTGGGAATCAAGAGTTTTCATGTGGGCAGCCTGGGGTATGATGATGTCATTATTGAAAGACAGAAGACTAAAAAAAAAAAAGAGTAGTGTTTTTCATTTGTTAGTTTTTGAGGGGGACTCCAGATCAGAAGTTCTGCTTTGGTTATTATAACTTTGAGATCTCTCATTAGACATTTATATGGAGATTTCAAATAGGTAGTGAGGGTATAAATATGAAATTTTTGGTAGCAGTCAAGTGAACATAAGGTATCAAAAACAGTCCATATAACTGAATTCTACAAGACATTTAAAGAAGAACTATTGCCATTACTCTTTAAACTAATCAAGGAAATTGAAAGGGAAGTAATACTTCCAAATTCATTCCTGGAAGCAAGTGTTACTTTGATTCCAAAACCAGGGAAAGACCCAACCAAAAAAGAGAACTACAGGCCAATC